TATATATATATATTACACACACACACACACACACTGCTTGGGAATCACTATGTCAGCTCCTCATCTATTTGTTGTTGTACAAGTAGTACATCTGTGTTGTTCTATATCCATGTATTGCATCATTGTGTGCACGGTTTTGCAGACCATGCCAAGTCCTACCAACAAGGTATGGTAAAGTACCGAGTGTTTTGGTTCGGCATGTTTTGGAAAAAAAAAAAAAAAAAATTGCAGGGAGTAATTGTCATGCATAAAACAGCTCATTAAAATTAATGGGCTGTCCTATGCGGGAAACATAAAATCGCTCTTACACAAGTGTGAACAAGAAGGCTTAAAGAGCACCTGTCACTGTACCCAATCAGGGTAGAGAGAGATGGGACATTCTGTAATACCTCCTCGCACTCTCCTGCTGCACTGACCAAGCCCTCAGTCAGCACCTGGTCCTCCTGAGTATAGGGGAGCATGTCATCTCCTAGGATGTGGTGCTTGAGCCTCAGCGGCCAATTGCAAGGCCTGTTTTGTGAAGAAGAGGAGAGGGGAGAATGCAGAGTAGCAGTGCCACACCAAGTGGTCCAAGAAGTTCTTTTTTTTTTTTCACGTTAAAGAACTACGGGCATATGTGTTCTTAACCCTTGCAGTGAGGCTACACCCACACTACAAGGGTTAAGTGCTCGGTTTGGTCTAGGTGCAAAAAAAAAGTTATACTCACCTGAACAGCAGAGCTGGCTGGCTGCTACTCTGGTTGTGCAGCCTCCTTCTACGCTGCAGCGATGGTATGTCCTTACATTCTATACACTGTATAGAACATGATACCTCAATGACCGCTCCAGCAGAGGAGGAGAGGGTGACTGTAACTTTTATTTTATTTTTCACCTAGACAAAAGTTGTGCCCGGAAATCTGCTTTAAAAAATAAAATAAAAAAATACAAATGATCTGTAAATGTTGTTAAAGTGTTTGAAGAAAGAAAAAGAGATTGACACAGAGCCGTCAATCTCTTTTTCTGCAGCCCTTGTTATCAATGAACAGGAATCCTCTATACTGAGTGTTCCTGATCATTCATAACATGAGAGCATAGTATGTTTACTATAACTACAACTATTAATGAACAGGAGGGGATGTAGATCACTTCCCATTCATTCATAATTGAGGACACAGTAACCATACCATGTCCTCAATTATCTACAAACACTCAGCGATCACTGATCAGAGTGTTTGCACTCGCTCTCTTCTCTGGCACGCTGTCACAGGAGGCTGAGCAGAGCAGGGAGGAGAGCTCAGCCTCCTGTGACAGCGCGGTCTGGGAGGAGACGCTGGCCGCTTACATCGCTCTCCTCCCGCAGCGCTCGGCAGGCTGTCACTTTCTCTCTTCCCTGCTGGGACACAGAGCAGCGCCCAGCGGGGAGGAAATAAAGAATAGATGCACCGATGTATCGGCAGGAAAATTGCACTTTCGGCATTATGGCAAAAGTGCCATTTTCGGACGATATATCGGTGCATCCCTAATCTCTCTCTTCTCTAATCTATCTATCTCCATGAAAATGCATGAATATAAGACATATATCCAATGAAATAAAATAGAGTTTTTAGGATCCAGTAGCGTGTGGGTAATGATTGGGTGGCGCTTTCTCCAGTCATGAAAAGCTGGAGGAGGAAATCAACTCTTTGTATACTGTGTCAGACTCGGCTCTGCAAAGGTGGATCAGGAGGGAGGAGAGTATCAGTGGGTGGGTTTTACAAGCGAACCTGTAACTTAAATAATCTATGTGACCGTCTCTTTAAAGAACAGCTCTGTGCAAAGATTTTCCTAACCCTTGAAGTGGGGTTACTCCCGCACTGCAAGGGTTAAGTGTTCACTTTTGTCTAGGTGCATAAATACCAGCTATACTCACCCGAACTGTGATCCCGGCGTGGCTGTTAGACATGTCCTTCAAGCCTCTCTTCCCCTACGCTCCAGTGGTCTATGGGCCCGTCAATTGGTATACTGTGTAGTGGGTGTGAGGACGCTGTGGGACGGAGGAGAGAGGCTGGAGGGAGCGCTGTCACAGCCAGCAGCGAGGATCAGGTGAGTATAACTTTATTTTTGCACCTAGACTAAAATGAGCACATAACCTTTGCAAGACTGGGGTAGCCCCACTGCAAAGGTTAAGAAACTTTTTGCCCGGAGTTCTACTTTAAATCTGCTAAATGCTGCAAATTCTCATCACAGCTTTCACAGGTGCTAACGCTTCCCTCACCCTAATAAGACTTTGTATTGCTGTGTCCCCATTGGGGAGATTCCCCCTTACTTCCTATGCTGGCTGACACCTTTCAAACACATGGGAGATCTTCCTAACAGGTAAATGGAGAGCAATAAAAAAACAAAAACTTGAGGTTCTTACCCTCCCCCATATATGGAAAACAAATTGGAGGGGAGTTGTGCTTTCAGACTAGTGTCCAATACATGTGGAAGTGCTACATCTGCCTGATAATGATCCCTTCTCTGGTAGGCTCTGCTTAGTGTAGATAAGGGACTCGTGCAGCACTCGGAACTCTAAGAATCGTCTTGTTTCAGCCACCAATGATAATCTTCGTTCCTTTCTTCTCCAGGCTGGGGAGCTGCGTGCTTACTTGAAATCTAAAGGTGCCGAGATATCGGAGGAGAATTCAGATGGCGGACTCCACATTGACTTGGCTCAGATCATTGAGGCGTGTGACGTCTGCTTGAAAGACGACGATAAAGGTTTGTTGTTGGTTGTTGGAATGTGAATGAAAGGAAACCCGTGCTTGTAAAAAATATGTAGAGTGTTTGGCTTATAAAAATGCCGGCTGATTGGCTGCCATACAGATCATGTGACTAATGCTTTCTGGAGCTTGAAGTGACTCTGCTACTGAAAAGATGCCAATTTACAAAGAAAAGAATGAAGGTTACCTATACCACCGCTCATGTCCCTGTTTAGAAGGAATACGTTTGTTGAATCTTCAGCATCTGACATTTTGTGTTGTGAGATAACTGGTCCCTCGTTGTGCTTTCTTACAACTGCCCCATATGACTACAGAACACCATAGTGACATAGAGGTCAGCAAATCAAACTACAGCGCACAGCAGGAGAGTCCTTTTGTATTTGCAGATGAGAATTAGTGATGTGAGGGGGCTTGGTGCGGACCCAGTTTTCTCTCGGGGGAATTTATCAAAGTTGGAGCAGACAAAATCTGGAGCAGCTGTGCATGATGGCAACCAATCAGCATCTCTCTTTCATTTTCAAATCTTAACTGAACAAACTGAAGAGAGAAGCTGATTGGTTACCCTGGGCAACTGCTCCAGATTTTGCTTTTTCGATAAATTCCCCGATCTGTGTAACACTTTTTGCTGCTGCTGACTTAAAGGAGAACTACGGGGTCAGGGCTTTTCCCCATAGTTCTCCTAGGGGTAACGGGAGGACACAAACTAGCGTCCTCCCATCACCCAAACCTCAGTATACCGCGAGCTACAGCTCACGGTATACTGAGACGCCGCAGCCGGGACGGATCCCGACATTACTGTCTGGATCCACCCAGCTGAGTGACAGCTGGCTTTGCCTATCTAGAGGCAGAGCCAACTGTACCAGCCCCCTTCCCCTGTCCGTTCCGCCAGTCAGCGCTGGAGGATGGGACAGGGGAGGGGGGGGAATCCCTGCAGGGAGCCGTGAGTGACAGTCACGGCTCTCTGCAGGGATAGATCGAGAAGTGAGCGAGCAACAGTATGTGTTCGCTCACTTCCAGATTTATTGAGCCGACCTGTGAAGGTTTCATTGTCACAGGTCGGCAAGAACTATGAGGCTGAGTGATTTTCACTCGCCTCATAGTTCTCCTTTAAGGGTTATTATGATAGCGGCAGCGCAAACATGTAAACAAAAAGCTGGGAGTTTGTTTCCAGTGTTAGTGCCGGCTTTCTTGTAGAAGTGATTCTGGACGGTTGTAAAGCCACCCAATCAATTCTACACTGTGGGGAAGGTGTTACCTATTTCATACTTCCCTGCCATCACTTTCTGTAATGAGGCAGAGGTTCTAGTCTCAGAATTTTCTATCAGAATGCTTTGACACTAATGCTTCAAAATTGATACTTCCAGATGTGGAGAGTGTAATGAATAGCGTGGTGTCTCTGTTGCTCATCCTGGAGCCAGACAAGCAGGAAGCTTTAATCGAAAGCCTGTGTGAGAAGCTGGTAAAACACAGGGAAGGTGAACGTCCTTCTTTACGACTGCAGCTGTAAGTATCTCCATTACCTATGAAATGTTCTTTTAAAATGGAAAACATTTTGTTTGCATGAACATACTTTTCGAATTAAGCTCCACTTTGCACTGCTTTTATATGTTCCATTGGGCGTATGGATATAGGAAGTGCCCAGAGTCAGTCCAGCTTCATTGTGTAGCTGGTCATCCTCCTGAGATTTTGCACAGCATTGAGGCAGATGAATGGCAATGAGGCGAGCACCAAGAAAAATGAACTTTAGAAAATAGATTGTTGTAGATGTAAACACTTGGGGTCTGTTTGTCAAGTATAGCTATTTAATTTTTTTTAAAGTGTGGTTCCTTTAATAAAATCCTTTCAGAATTGGGTTAGGCAGTGCAAAGAGCAGCAATCCATAACAACAAATCCGCTCTCACTTAAAATTTTTAGGACCGCCTTGTATGTTGTATGGCTGGTTAAAGAAGAGGCCACCTTTGTTTCCTGCTGACATGAGTGTATTCTATAGAGTGGAGGGATGGAAAGTGGAGCTATTATCTATAGCAGCCTTTCTCAACCAGGGTGCCTTCTGACTTCCTCACGGGTGCCTTGAAATTTTTCTGATGGTAAAACTCTGATGTGAAGGGGGCTTCTGATAGAAAGGAGGGAGCTCTGATATTGAAGGGGGGCCCACAATGTGAAGAGGGCTCCTCATATGAAGGGGGAGCTCTGAAGTAAAAGGAGTGGGCTTCTGATTTGAAGGGAGGACTTTGATGTGAACGGAGGAACCCCGTGTTTTGCATGGGGTCCCCCCTTTAAATCCACTAGGGGTGCCTTGAGATTCTGCATATGTTTAAATGGTGCCCTGTAGAGCTGCAGCTAACGATTATTTTCAAAATCGATTAGTTAGCCGATTATTAAGTTCGATTAAAACTGAAAAAGGTTGAGAAATGCTGATCTAAATCACAGACGGACAAATTGATATGGAATCCTGGAGCCAGCAGGATTTTGTTTTTAGGAGTCAGCCCCACTGACAATTAGAGAGAACCTCAAAAGTTACAACAGCAAAAAGTTTCCTATCACACTCGCCAGCCAGCATGCAAAAAAATTGTCTCACCGCTAAGGTTAAAAACAGAGGTTTAGATAAACGTCTTCTGCAGAAAATGTGAAAGCCGCGCCAAGGCACCTCTATATAGTGCGGTCCTAACTCTAACCTATGAGAGTCTCCATCTTGGAGCACATGTGGCAAAAGATCAAATTGGGTGCACATGTGCTCCAAGATGGAGACTCATAGGTTAGAGTTAGGACCGCACTATATAGAGGTGCCTTGGCGCGGCTGTGCGGCTTTCACATTTTCTGCAGAAGACGTGTTTTTAACCTTAGCGGTGAGACAAGTTTGTTTGCATGCTGGCTGGCGAGTGTGCTGGGAAAACTTTTTGCTGTTGTACTGTATAAAGCCCTTCCATGTGCACCTTGCTGTAAAGCTGGTAACAAATTGATGAGTGCGTTTGCCATTTGTTTTGCTTGACCTCAAAAGTTAGGCGCCAGCTGTAACCTTTAAAGACCATTGCCTACCTGACCCCTGAGCTTTGTCCATCCCTGATCTATAGCAGTCAGACTCCATATGATTTGTATTATATTAGAAAAAATATGTTGCTATAGCAGACACTCCCAGCATTCCTAACTGTGCTGTGCTTTTGTATAGTATGAAACCTTAAATATATTTATATCAGTTCTTTGTGGCTACGTTCGTACTTTCAGTGCATTCAATGGGGTTTTATTTGTTTCGCTTTAGTAGAGTATTTTGCAAGGTAAACGAACAGCAGTGCAGTTAATTGATTTTCTGCTTGCCATTGTTGACACTCAAGCAAGTCATGCATGCGAGTCTCTGTAATGGAACAGACTAGACATCTGTACCTCCCATGAATGTGGCCAGTTTGAATGACCACTAGCCAGACTGTATTTAGAATGTCTAGGGTTATCACGTCTGAGTAACAGATATGACCTTTGCCTGTGTAGGTTAGCTGTCTGCTGGCCCAGAAACAAGTTGCCTTACATTACCCACTGATAACAAAGACGCATTTATGTAAAAATTCTTGTACATAAGAAATGCAAAAAAGAACTTCACTGTGTAATATTTCTATATAAACTTATCACGTTTAACCCCTTCATGACTGAGGCCTTTTTGTTATTTTTTGCACTCATGTTATATTCCACATTTTAGGCCTAAAAGTTACCTAAAACACCCAAAAACATATATTTTCTGAAAGCCTAGAATAAAATGTTGGCAGTTGCAAATTTTTATGTTGCACGATATTGGCGCAACACCTTATCAAACCCCAAAATTTAGTGAAAAATTTACTTAAATGTCCCAATGCACATCGCACTTAATAGCTTATAGCTGGGCTTCAGGAGCCCAGCACTGACAGCTATGGGACCGGAAGTGATGCGATCTGCATCGCTCCAGGTCCCAAAGATTGGGGAGGGGATCGGCGAATGGAGGTTCGTCCAGCTCCCCGCCGACACCCGAGAAGCTGGTCCCGGTGCCCGTAGGAGGGGCAACGGAGCCCAGGAAGCATGGCGGGGTGTGGGGGGGCCTTCACGCGACTGTAGACATCTGAGTCACCAAGATCGCTTCTATTGTAAAGCCGACAGCTGGCTTTACAAGTTTAAACAGAGTCCCGGCACCCCCATTCTAGCGATGTACACTGTACGTCGTCAGTCAGGAAGGGGTTAATGACCACTGTGCAGTTTTAAGAACAACAGCCTACGTGTATGGTGGGAAAACACCATCTGAGGTCCTCATTATTTTTTTAATAAGATATGGCTGAAAGGATCTCCTAAGATGTTGTGTGAGCATCTACCATTAGTCTGCCTAGGAGTCTATTTACTTCTTTGACCAGTAACGCCTTTTTCTATGCTCCCTTTTTGGTTCCAGTTTCATCTTTTAATGCAAATTCTAGGCTAAGCCATCCGCTCATCGCCCCAGAAACACTTGTATATGGGAAAGGAGGGTTGTGGATGGGGCTCTGCTGATAAGTTGGCACATTTGAGTCCTTGGTAACCCAGTAAAACACAGATGAAGGTGGCACAGGAGGTTTTCTCACTGTCTGTCCTAGGTAGAATTTTAACTTTTAAAGCTTTAAAATGTTAGGCCCATGGAATTCTTGGAAACATTCCAGAATTTCTTTGTATTTTTTGCAGCCCTTATTTAGATTGATATATTTCTTTACTGCATTGCTTTAATTTTTTGGCCTTTTCTACAGCGCTGTTTTAGATCTTGTTCCCAGTGGCTGTTGCTTCTTATCTTATAACCTAACAATGTAATGTGGTGTGCCTCTCTTCCAGACTGAGTAACCTATTCCATGGCATGGACAAAAGCACCCCGGTCAGGTACACTGTGTACAGTGCCCTCATCAAAGTGGCAGCCAGCTGCGGATCTATAATGTTCATTCCAACAGATCTTGATCAGGTCAGTGCCTTTCCTTCTGCTTTTTATTTACTTAGAAAGGTCTCCTGTATTACAAAGAGTCTAACTTGAATTTTGTGGTTTTTCAGGTTCGCAAATGGATCACGGACTGGAATCTCAGCATAGACAAGAAACACACTTTACTCAGGCTTCTTTATGAGGCTCTTGTTACCAAACGAAGGTGATTTACCTAACATCATATGGAAATAGTTTGGTTTGTGTTAAAAAGTTAACTCTGGTATTAAAATAAAATGCCCTTTTAGTGGACCCCCCTGAACTGCAAGGGTTACCTGCTCATTAAAGGAGAACTATGAGGTGAATGATTTCCACTCAGCCTCGTAATCTGAACCGACCTGTGACAATGAGACTGTCACAGGTCGGCTCAGTAGATCGGGAAGTGAGCAAACACATACCGGCGCTCGCTCACTTCTCGATCCTGTGTCGGCAGAGAGCCGTGACAGGGGAGTGACTGGATTCCCCGCTCCGCCAGCGCTGACTGACGGAACGGACGGGGTAGGGGGCGGGTACAGCTGGCTCTGCCTCTAGATAGGCAGAGCCAGCTGTCACTCACGCAGCTGGGCGGATCCAGACATAATTGTCGGGATCCGTTTCAGCTGCGGCGTCTCAGTATACCGCGAGCAGTAGCTCGCGGTATACAGAGCTTTGGGTAACAGGAGAACGCTAGTTTGTGTCCTCCCGTTACCCTTCGGAGAGCTATGGGGAAAAGCCCTAACCCCATAGTTCTCCTTAAAAGCCGATGTGTGACATTGAAACTGTCGGCTCTATTAATCGGGAAGTGAGCGAACACATACCGTCGCTCGCTCACTTCCCGATCATCTCCCTTCTACATGGAGTACATAGAAAGCTTTAGCTCAATGAAGGTAGTGGTAGGTGCAGATCATTAACACAAATCATTAACTTTTTGTCACAGCACCCTTTAAGTATTCCAGATATAGAGGCAACCATTCTAAAATGCCATGAAAATTACACTTGGCTCTTCCAAAATCCATACTAGACCCTTAAGCCATATAGGGGGTCTGTTCTGAATTTTAAGGGGGAAGTCGAAACGCACACAAAAAAAATCCCTCTTCACATGAGTCCCCCCTTTCAGACTAGGAGCCCCCACTTTTTCACATGACAGTTCCCCCTTTACGCCAGGAGCCTGCTTGCACCATGGAAAGACATGACGTTGTACAAAACTTTCAAGGCACCCCTGAGGAAGGCAGCAAGCAGGCTCCCTGGTTGAGACAGGCTGCATTAACATATGCTTGCATTTACAAAAGCATGCTCACATCTACATATATGGCTGTTGAAGTCACTGGCTGCCGGCTCACTTTCCCATGCATACTGAAATATACTTTGTCTTTGCAGTGATGACGCCGCTAAGGTGATGGTGGAACTGTTGGGAAGCTACACAGATGACAACGCATCTCAAGCCCGTGTGGATGCACACAAGTAATTTACCTAATATATCTTTCACATTGTTTTGTAGCAGGAAAAAGAAATAAAGGGTTTATTTTGCAGGGTGATGTGTAAAGCTGACCCGTGTATAGAGAGGTGGGATGTAAAGGCATTATTAATATTATACAGGGTTTATATAGCGCCAACAGTTTGCGCAGCGCTTTACAATATAAGGAAGACATTACAAGACAAGATGGCAAGGGGGGCCCTGCCCCGGAGGGCTTACAATCTAAAAAAGGCATGATATGACTGCCATCAGGGCGAATAGTGTGCAGAGTGAAGCGGAGATGTTTTATGGAATTGTGAGCGTAGCTCTGCAGATGTCACAGCTTTGTGTTTATGGAAGGCACTGCCAGCAGTAGCTTATGGAGGATGAAATATCCCAGACGGGTACTTTTACCTGTCTGATCACTCCGCAGTGACAGTGGTCACCTGTTTGCATCCACGTATAACAAATGCCTTGCCTGACATGGCCTCAATTTGTCATTGGGTGCCGTATAGTTTCTACATTTTGTGATTGCTAGTGTGAGACCTGTAGCTGTAACAGTGCGTCCTTACAACTAGAAGTGCACACAGGTGCGTATTGCTAGTTTTATGAGATGGAACAAAGATTAACAATCTCTGAGCATGCTAATCTACTGGTGTATGATGAGTAGAGCTGCAGCTAACGATTATTTTCAAAATCGATTAGTTAGCCGATTTATTAAGTTCGGTTAATCGTTTTAAGAATTAAAATGAAATACATTTTTTTTTAAATGGCTCCAGTGATGGACTACTAGTTTGTATTGAGATTATTAACTAATCGGAAGCCGATTAATCGATGATTGAAAACGTTGACAACTTTTTCAATCATCGAATACAATCGATTTAGTCGATTAGTTGTTGCAGCCCTAATGATGAGGTTGTTTCCCCAAATTGGCTGTAAACATGCTCAGATACATTTGGTGTGATCTCAAACAATTCATCACCACACAGCTACCTCCTCATGTATCACTTGCCCCTCCCTTTTAGATTATAATCCCTCATTGGCAGGGCCCTCTTTACCGTCTTGAATTGTATTGTGATGTCTTCCTTATATTGTAAAGTGCTGCGCAAACTGCTGGCGCTATATACATTCTGTATAATATTAATGTAAGATCCTATCGGACTGATGTATGAACTGGAGTTTCTTTTATAACATGCTCTATAAGGTTCTCTGGAGCAGTATTTTGCACCTATAATGACAGTGTGGTAAGCGAAGATGGAGACTCTCCTCTCTGCACATATATGAAATGTTGCCTGCCCCTTGAATTTCTCAGGAGGGTAGCAAGGCTTTAATGCAGGGGACACTTAATATGTAAGAAGTGTCAATGATGCTTCTTGAAAAGGGCAAGCTATGTTTTTCTGCTTGCTTTTTGTGATCGCCGGACACACTGTGCACCACAGACTCCAGTGTGATAATGAGGACATGTCTGTATACAAATTCCTTCATACAACCAGCATGAAAAGTGCTAGCACACCCACTCCTCCCTCATAACCAGGCTACAGTACAATTTTTGATTTAGCGTTGGTGACCCATTGGTTTAATATGTAAACCCGTTCACTAAAATCTTGTATACCATTTTACATGCTATTGTGATTTTGAAATGCTATATGTCTTTTATATCTGCAGCTTGTATTATAGTCTTATTACAATAATATCTGGTAATCCTGCCGCGATATTCCCTACTTAGGCTCTTCTTGGCATGGCTTTGTCCCAGTCTCCCAAGGCATGGTCCATGGTTGTCACTATGAGGAAGTCTGCCCTGATTAAGACATGAAGCTGCTGCTGGAGCCTGTGCATGTAGGCAGCAAGTAGCTCTAGGAGATCAGCAGCACTGAGCTGCAGAAACCGATTAAAGAAGGTTCCCAAAGTAAAACACAGCAGTTATTTATTATACAAACTAAGTTCCATCCAGTTGGGGTTTACCTCGATTTTAGAGCCCTTTCACACGGGCATTATGATCGGGTCTGCTTCTTAGTTTTTCAGGCGGCTCTGATCGGAAGCCCACTGTTAGTCTACGCACAGCCGGATCTAAATAGACATCTGTTTACATCCAATTACCCCCGACCGCAGCCAGGTCCAGAAAACTCAATGGAGCAGAGTTCTGTTTTGGCAGATCAGGGGTAATCTGATACAAACGGTCTGTTTACTTCTGACTCCCCCAGACCAGCATGGGGTCAGGTAATTTCTGATTTTTCCTCCATCACAAGATGAACAGACACGGATGTTACAATGGTGACATTCATTCTGAACTGCTCCCATCAGCAGGAGGTCAGTGCATGGATCCCCTGCTGATCAGAACTGAAGGTGCCAATGTTAAAGGGGCCTTAAGGGTATGGCTACTCTTTTGTACTTTCACGTATGTCAGTGTTATTGTATCACTGTATTATGTTATTTATGGCTACTCTTTGAAGTTATATATATTGTTGCATCTTCTTTAATATTCTGTACTAATTACACTGATTTGTGTTTCATGTAGATGCATTGTGAGAGCTCTAAAGGACCCCAAAACATTCTTGCTTGATCACCTCCTTGCCTTAAAGCCAGTTAAGTTTTTGGAAGGAGAACTTATTCATGATGTAAGTATTTTATATAGTGGCACTATTTACCAATATACCTGTTGGTGTGCACCTGCCTACAATGTTGTATCACTTTTGGGGGGGTGCATGTACATGTGTTCATAAAATTTCAGTAATAATTGCACCTATAGAGTGCTCTGTCTGCATACTCGGCATAAAGTCTAAACCGTAGCACGAGGCTTGAGCTAAATCTGATCCGTCTTTTCTGCACTCCTGTTTAATTCTTCTCAAGGTGTAGGTTCGGATGGTAGAGTCCAATGTAGGGGGTTGCTGGTGACAGTTCTGCGGTTTGTATAAATTGTCCTTTTTAAAGCTGGAGTTTAATCTGCTTATATTCTGCCTTCCCTGATTCTTCCTTTTCCTCTTCATCAACATCCTAATAAAATGGACATGTCCCCAGCTGTCTTCACAAGCTTTAGGTTATAGAGCAGGTCATGCAAATGAGTTACTTTCTAGACCGCATACTTGGGGCAGTCGGCAGTACCTGGAGTAGAACTGATTCTCCTTGGTAGGTGCCAGTTTCTGTTTTTATGGTTACCAATACCTGGAGAGAGGTTCCCCTGGCTGTTCTAACAACTATACGTAAATTGCTGTGAATATTTAAACATTTACTATGGCATACGGCCAGTGTTTGCAGGCTTTGATGGTGAAATGCGGCGTTCTTTTTACATCGGATTGAGATGCTTCATTGTAGGTGCGGTTGAGCTGCACTTCAGCTGCTTTTACATTCCCATAGACTTGTATGGAGATAGAAGCAGTTCTGGTAACTAAAGGCGCTGGCCTTGATAGTGCTACACAGTAGCAAGATGGCATATCCTGTAATTTATTTAGTCTCTGCAGTTCCTAATTGGGGATTAACTGTTTGTTTTCTCATGTCAATATCTTCTAGCTTCTGACCATATTTGTGAGCGCCAAGCTGTCTTCATACGTCAGGTTTTACCAGAATAACAAGGATTTCATTGATTCGTTGGGTAAGTAATGAGATGTTTATAAGGATGACAACTGTCAGATTATGGTCGGGTCAGTTGTATAGCGTGAGAACCTTCCTATATAACTCATTTAGATTACATGAGGCAAGCTGGTCTCCAAAATAAGGTTGTTTGTAAATGTAATTATCTGACCATGTCCTCATCACAATTTGCCTGTGACAAACACATGACTGTGGCCGTGTCAGTCCGGGTGTGACTTGCAGAGACTGGTGTGGGGTTCTTTTAAAAGTAAAATGTCTGCCCAAGAGTTAGCACCACAAGGGGGCATGACTTTGTCAGCCATAAAAAGCCTCTCTGATCCTTCAGTTTATAGAGGGTTTGATTTTGCTGACACCGGAGCTATAGCAGACCTGTGTGCAAATCAAATCTTGACCTTTTGCAGTGGGTCTACCCCCGCACAGCAAGGTATAAGTGTTAATTTTGTCTAGGGAGCTAAAATAACAGTTATACTCACCAGGGCTCCTGCTCCGATCCCTACAGCCTGCCTCTTCCTCTGCTCCAGCGTTGGTATGTCCCTCGGTGTCCTCGCGTTGTATAGGCTTTGGGAGTGAGGCTGAAGGGACTAGCCTAACCGCAAGCTGGGATTGTGATTCGGGTAAGTAGAACTCTGTTTTAGCTGCCTAGAAAATGTCCCACACATCGGCCTTCTGTCCACAAATTGGGGAAATCAAGCCCTTAGGATACATGTAAACCGTTCATGATTAGTCATAGGTGATTATCTTGTAGGTGGCAGAGCTTATACCCCAATTTAAATTGATCAAGCTTTACAAGTTAATATTAATCTGCAGTCCCCTGACCAGCGTTTACCCGGGAGGGGGGAATTGGATTTAACCTGCACAATCAAGTCTTCCAAAAATTGAGCAGCTTTAGGGCCTCTGTTGGCTGACTTTGTTCTCATCAGAACTCCATCTCTTCCCAATAATAACTAATAGGAGTGCAAAAGCCGGTTGGCGCAGGTTAGGTGAAGGTCGGAAATGCAGGTGAGATGTACTTGTCCCTGAACTCTGATCTCAGAAGCATCTGAAAGGCAAGCAGCCTTTGCCTATCAACACAGGCCCTTAGTAACAAGGCGGGAGCAGGATCAGAGGCACACAAACGGCTTTCAAGATTAATAACAGTAATCGTGTCCACCTCGCTGTTACCAAATAGATGACAGGTTCACTTAGAGGTCTCAATAGAGGTCAATGGTCTGACATGAGGAGCATAACCACAAAACTATCTTCTTTGGATTTATGATTGGCAGGATTTATACCTGTTAGGTATGATGATTACTTTGTTTTGGTGCGATTCCTACCTCATGAGGACATGATGGGGTTTCAGGGATCTTTGCTAGCTATTGGTTGGTTTTGTTTAAATTGGACATTTGGCATTATTTAGTCACACACACACACGCCTTTAAAGGGTTTCTAAAGCCTCAGTTTTTTTTGCATATATATATATATATATATATATATACATAAGGCCGCAAAGCATCTTGGTGCGGGCGTATGCGCAGTTCGGATTTTTGGCCGAGAGACGCAAGGTAAGTCTATGTACGCGTGCACCCGCCTGCAGACACCGTGGGACAGGAAGCGCCAGCAAGCTCAGAGGAGTCAGCGCTGGATCGGAGGGACAGATGAAAACATCAGGAAAGATCGGAAAAAGAGACATCCTTTAAGGTAAGTGCTGACATTAACTTTGGGGGGAGGGGAATAATTTGTTTTACTTTAATGTCACTTTAAGGGTTCTTGAACGGCTCTGAAGCGTTACACTGTAGCGTCATTAAGCAGCACAATAAACTGACATTTTTGCTTGAATTTTGTTGTGCTGACAACATATTCTATGACTGGTGGCTTTGACCTCTCTCAAATACAAAGTTCTTTTTGCAGTGTTCATGCACTTTGTCCTGGCCAGCTGAAACATAGATAACTTTTGGTACCTGCTGGAATCTGATTCAAAAGGCATAGGCACTTTACACCCACCTACCCCGATTTGAGTTTAAAGAACATGCTGCACTTTGTGTTGGACAGCCGCCAATAAGATGCAGCCCTCACTATGCACCTCTCTTGATTTTATTTCAATCCTTGTGCTTAAGACCCCCACCCCCCCCCTGATCTAAAATAAAACCTCCTCCAGCGATTCCTCCCAGAAAACAGCAGGCTTCGGGCATGATGACAAGGTGCTTTTATAAAAATCCTTGCTAAGGAGTGGATTTTGGCGGCCCTCTAATAGTGGGATGGGAGAGGTTCCTCCACACTCGTCCACTTGGTATAGCGCGGGGGATTAAATAAAATGTCAGCAGATGGGAAGGCAAAACAGAAAAACACTGCAGACCGTGAACCTATAAAGCTGGCAGTCCAATGTGGCGGCTGTTAATTTGTTTCATAGCATGCAGCATCTGTGTGATGGAATGTTAATGTCAGCAGCTCTTTTATTTACACACCCGGGGAAAAGGGAGTAGTCATTAACACTGCGACACTCCCCCATTCATGTGTAATTGACTGTTTCAAAGGAGCACAAGTCCATAAGCTATTGCATGCATTACAATTACATTTCCCATATCACATTTTTTTTTTTTTTTCTCCCTGCCATTTTTTTTTCTTTATTTGGCCGGGGGTCAGACACAATGCCAGCCATGTTAAATGATGCATTTCAGAAATGATGTACTGAGGTTCTGACAACTGCTATGGCTGAGAGTCATCAAGAGAGGAAAGGCTTCCCCGGTATACAAGGTTTTGTGCCCAACTTTAAAAAGTGGAGAGTGCGCGCCAACGAAGGCTAAACTATTGCCATTACACTAAAGACGTGCCCTAGGCAAATCACAAAATGCATATATGGGAGCTGTCTTACTAGCCAAAGGGTTTGACTTTCTGTCCATCCAGTCAACACAGCTAGGGCACCTCACTGCCCCCAGCCTGTGATTGGACAGCAAAGCAGCAGCAACTGACTGGTCATCTCTGCTTTCATTTCCTGCCAGTCTGTTCCTTTTCAGTATATGTGAATGCAGGACACTGTATTGGCCCTTTGTTTAATTTCTTCTGTACAGGTGGCTAGGTTACCTCACTGTCCCCAGCCTGTGATTGGACAGCAAAGGAGCAGCAACTAACTGATCAAGTCATCCCTATGCTCTCATTTCCTGCTAGCCGATGTGAATGCAGGACACCTGATTGGCTTCAAGCATTGGCCCCTTATTTCGTTTCTTTGTACAGGGGGTTAGGCTGGATAGTACCAAGTCAGATTCAGGTGTTTATACTACTCACATTTAAAATAACGTTATACATAACTAATTTAGGTTTCCTTAATATCTGCCTGGAGTTCGGCTTTAAATGGAATGCTATTTTTAAATACATTTTGGGGTTGGTATCAGGCAGAGTTGATGATCTGTCAGGTCTCCACTGGTATCTACAGGGACAATCTGTTTCCAATGCTAGGCCTTCTATTATAGTCGGGATCTCTGGTGAGCGTCTTGGTTCCTGTGTCTGGCAGCTGCATAAAAGGTTATAAAGAGGGG